GACCACTTGAGCTCACTGTTGTGAATAAACAGTTTAATTTCTACATTACATTCATTATAACTTAGTATATTGGAATGCAACTTGCCTGCTTGTGAAAATGTGTATTTTTAAGGTGTTTTCTTTATTTGTGAACACACCATGTAGTGTGTAAAGAAAGAAACGGGTTTGTTTCTCATATTTTAGCAGATACCGGAAGGACAACATGTTTACATCTTGACTCAATGTTCTGTTGCGCGTTAGAAGCGTGTCGGACGTTGCTGGCCTTTTGCCATGTGTGATTTTTACCTCCGTGGGCTCGTGACAGGGTCGTGGAAAACCTACGACTTGTAGTTTTCATGAGGATGAAGGAAGCCTTCCATTCAGTTCTCCTCTTCTCCGATTGGCTGCGGCGCGTCAGAGCTCTCCTCTGATTGGTCAATTCCTCTGATGCATTCGCTGTCCATGTGTATGGCACGTGAACAACAGACGGCTTCTTTCTTCCAGCGCGTCTTGTTGCGCATTACTCCGTGGCATTACGGTAATGCATCTTAAAGGCATTTTCTGAGAAATTAGGACATCTGGTTGTGCGCTGGAACTGCTCATGAGAACATTTTCTTCAAGGACTCTAAAACACGAACTATTTACTTTAGTAGAAACCATGTGATTGAAAAAAACAAAAACAAACTGATGAAAGAAAAACACGTGACTTGTGTGGATTCATGCTGTAGACAAACACATTGTTGATTTTTGCACTTTGACGGGCATTCATGTAAAGTTAAATTATTTCTTTCCTTGCTTTGAGATCGTCTCTTTTTGATTAAATTGACCTATATATTTTTTTTGTGTGTGTGTGTGTGTTATTGTGAACAACATACTCCATTCTTTAAAACATATCAACGAAGTGTACATAAAATATAAAGTACACCAAGTATAAGGCGATACCAGGAATGGAAATGCAAGATTAAATTAATAGTTAGTTGAAAATGCCACGAGGTGTAGACGGATCGTGCACAAATGAGACGTGTTGTTTTGTTGTCGCGCGCCTCTCGTTGCGCGCTGCCTCCTCTCATTACGGTAATGTAAAACAACGTCAGTTTCTCAGCTGATATGAGGCATCCACTCCCTGCAGCCTCTTTAGAGACAGAGAGTACCGAAGCCCACCGCCTCACACTGCAGCACCGCGTTACCGGACCGGTCCAGGATGTTAGACAATGAAGAGATCCTGCTGGAGAGCCACCCACGGGAGCTCACCCAGAACCCGCTGAAGAAGATCTGGATGCCCCACAGGAGCAGCCACATCGCTCACAGACGGGGTAAGAGACGCAGCTGAGCCCCCCCCCCCCACCGGCAAGCAAGTGCGCCAAAGGTGCCCGGCTTCTATAGGGCGTAAAATCCTCCCTGATAGCACTTTTCGATTTGAAGTGAATCTCTTTGGAGATGTTTAATTTGGTGTCACGCGCGGATTAGTGGGGTTTTACTGGACCACTTCGCAGTGTTGCATCATGCTCCGTAGACTGGGGGCGTCCAGGGGCGCATTGAGAGGGGGGATAATTACACACACAGGTCTCCTAATAATTTAATTTACCCTGGAGCAACATGAACCTGTCCCGTGAAGATTCAGCTGCTCCTCTGCTGTTTCTGCTGACTCAAGCTCTGCTGCTTTCCTCTTTAACAAGCTGCGGATATTCTGTCCTGTCTGGCACAAAATCCCCCCCCCCCCCCCAAAAAAAAGCCCACTTTAGCTTAATTTCGAAATTATTATCCCCAGTCTTTGGGATCAGAAAAGTAATTTTTGACAGAAAAGACGCTGATATGCACTTCATGCACTATTACAACCCAAATGTGCTAAAATCATCATTTATCTTCAGATGCAAGAAAAAAAATAAAGAAGTTGCATTTGGTTGTTGAGTCGTGCATGTTTTAATGCGCTGTGTGGTGTTTTTCAGTAATTGCAAAGTTAGGTTTAAATAAATAAATAAAAAATGTTCTTATCTTCCCACCCTGACCTTTGTTCCTCAACATTGTGTGGTTCTGATTTAAGCTGCGAGGGTCTTGGGTTCGTTTTGAGGTCTGTCAGAGCGGACCCTGATCGGACCTCATCCTCTGCTGTAATACTGATCATGTAATTAAATCTCAAGTCTTCTTTCAGGGGATTTTCCTGTCACACTGACTTTGTTTGCCCCCCCACCAACAGATGTTTGCACCTTTTTAAGTTGCAACCCAGCTGATTGATAATGATCCATATTTAGCAGATCAAACGTGTAAAGGTGACGTAAACTGTTTTTCTCTTTGTCTCTTTCAGTATGTATGACAAACTGTCCGACCCTCATTGTGACCGTGGGACTTCCTGCCCGAGGGAAGACTTACATTTCCAAGAAGCTCACTCGCTACCTAAACTGGATAGGCGTGCCAACAAAAGGTACGAGCAGCAAACCTTCAAATATGAAAATAAAGAAGCTGCTAAACTCTGCGTTTGACATACCTCTTTGTTTGTCGCCCATGACAGAGTTTAACGTTGGCGACTACCGGAGGGAGTGTCTGAAGATCTACAAGTCCTTTGAGTTTTTCCGCTCAGATAATGAAGAAGGTGTAAAAATTAGACGGTGAGTTTGCACACAGTTTCTGGGATGTCCAGACTTTAAGAACAATAAACCTGTTTCTCAGAACAACGGGGGACCTTGTCTCGGGCATGACCCTGTAAACTTTCTGCTATTTTTGGCAGTCCTACCTCGCATGGAATGCATATAAATGTATACACTGTCGTGTGGAAAACACCTTTTTTTCTTGTTGCAGTCAGTGCGCCATGTCGGCGCTCAATGATGTTCGGCAGTACCTGAGCGTTGAAGGAGGACAGGTTGCAGTAAGTCCTCTTAAAGTGTCCAGGCAAAATACTCTTTGACGTGGTGCAATCGTAACTATCTCCTCACTTTTTCAGGTATTTGATGCCACAAACACAACAAGAGAAAGAAGAGGAACTATCATGAAGTTTGCTGAGCAGAACGGCTTCAAAGTATGAATCCAGCAGGCCTGTATCCATTTCTAACCTTTAATTTAACTCCAAGTTTGTTTATGGTATTTATTTATTTTGCCAAATTCAGGTGTTTTTCGTGGAATCTGTGTGTGAGGATCCAGATGTCATTGAACAAAATATAGTGGTAAGCTTCACGGTATTAAAAACAACATATTTAATACAGCTAGTGTAATAAATGCCCTCTACACTCGGCATTAAAGATGAACTGTTTTCTTTGTAGCAAGTGAAGCTGGGAAACCCAGACTACATTCACTGCAGTTCAGACGAGGCAATCGAAGACTTCATGAAGAGAATAAAGTGCTACGAGTCGTCCTACCAGCCTCTGGATGAGGACCTTGACAGGTGACAGGACCTATAAGAAGGCCTCCCCTCATTAAGTGAGCTCATTGTTGAAGGTGTTTGACCAGTTTCTGGTTTTCTTTCAGCGACGTGTCGTTTATAAAGATCATGGACGTGGGCCGTCGTTATCTGGTGAACCGGGTCGTTGACCACATCCAAAGCCGAATTGTCTACTACCTGATGAACATCCATATCACTCCACGATCCATCTACCTCTGCCGCCACGGTGAGAGCGACCTCAACCTCAAGGGACGCATCGGAGGAGACTCCGGCCTTTCTGCTCGAGGGAAAGAGGTTTTTGTGCACTACTTTTTTTTTTTTTAATGTCTTCTAGTTTTAGAGGAATTTCTTGTTTAGAGGGTATTTCTAAAACGTTATCTTACCAATCTAGTATGCCAAACGTTTGGGGAAGTTCATCGAGGAACAGCAGATCAAAGATTTGAAAGTTTGGACCAGTCAGATGAAAAGAACAATCCAGACGGCGGAGTGCCTCGGGGTGCCATACGAACAGTGGAAATCCCTGAATGAAATTGATGCTGTACGTCAACCTCTGGTGTTCTGTCATTTAACGTGATGTTCTTCCACAACTTTAGTGTAAAATCTTCTTTGTTTTTACCAAGGGTGTGTGTGAAGAGATGATGTACGAGGAGATCCAAGAACATTTTCCTCTGGAGTTTGCGATGAGAGACCAAGACAAATATCGCTACCGCTATCCTAAAGGAGAGGTAATGAAAAGCTTTCTTCTTATAACTTTGCTATTACATCACAAAACTTTTTTATTTTTTGTATTTGACTGGTCTGTGATTCTCTGTTAGTCGTATGAAGACCTGGTGCAGCGGCTGGAGCCTGTGATCATGGAGCTGGAGAGACAGGAGAACGTTCTGGTCATTTGTCACCAGGCCGTCATGCGCTGTCTTCTCGCATATTTCTTGGACAAAACATCCCGTAAGAAGCACGTAGTGTGGCAGTATATTTGTCTTTAAACGATCTTTGTAAAACTGACTGCCTTTGTTGTCACTGCAGATGAGCTGCCTTATCTCAAGTGTCCTTTGCACACCGTGTTGAAGCTGACACCTGTTGCTTATGGTGAGTATTTCCAAGTTTACAACTTATCAGTATTACCCGTATCCTGTCGCATTAAAGTGTTCAAAGTTATCAAAAACCAAAAAGAGAAAATTATTTCAACCAGAATAAGCAGCAACTTCTTGTGAGTTTGCAACCTTTAGACATATTACGCAGTAGGTCAACGGTATGGTGCAAAAGTTGCAATCATCCCTTTATTTCTTTATATTTTTGGTTTCAATGAGACCTTTTTGGAAGTGATCTTGAGAAATATATTTTTTCAGTTTTTTTGGAGGCCTTTTAAAGTTTTCTTTTAGACTTTGGCTGCTTTTTAAATTATTATCTGTCAAGTATTCTACAATTTCCAGAACATTGACCTATGAATCGTGGGCATAAGAGACTCCTAAATTTAAAGGAAAAACAGAACACAAAGACAAATTAGCCAAGAACCTGTTTTAAATTTAATGTATTAGGACTAATGCCAAAGGTAACTGTCGGATTTTGGCACCCAACAGGATAATTGTCATGTTTTTTTAGACACGACTCTACATCATAGTGTACTGTTATGGTCAGGTACAAAGATTGGACAAAAAATGGTGGAAAAAATAGACAATGCCCTTCCGCAACCTCTCAAAAAAAATCTAAAAGATAACTTTTTGGTCTTCGGAAATAAAGTACAGAAGTTACTTATCGCAGGGGTTACGTTCCAGATTTTCACCCCACAATAGGTGAAAATCTAAAGTAGGGACGTTATAGTTATTTTAGTATTTATATACATTTTAAGGCTTTATAAACCCCACACTCTTGCAGTGTTCTTAACAATGTTCTAAACTCTGTAAATGCTCTAAAAGAGCACAGTGAAAGAGAGCAGACTGACTGTTGCTACGGTTACTGAGCCAATCAGCGCCTGGGGGTGGACTGGCCATTGGGAGCACTGTGACATTTCTCGGTGGCCTGGCCCGCTCAGTTCGGGTCGCACTTGATTATTTTAAATCATACTCACTCTGGTATCCACCTCACTGAAGCTCCCACAGCAGCAATGGGGAACTCCTTTCTCTTTCTGAGGCTGTCTGTTACAGCAGAACAGACACGCAACTGGTTGCGCACCCACCTGTTGTGTTTCTATGCTCTGCTGTGACAGACAGCTTCAGAAAGAGAAAGGAGGGGGGCCCCTTGGCAATCACTGAGCAGGCCAGGCCATCGGGAAACAATGTCTTACATTGAAAACCCGCGAAAGAGTGAGTCCGCGAAAGTCGAACTGCGAAGTATCGAGGGACTACCGTTTGACAAAATAAGGGATGATTCCAGACATTTGAGTTGTCTTATATAACTGAAGTTATATTTTCTTGCTCCAACTGTTTGTAACCCTCATTTGCTCTTTGCCAGGGTGTAAAGTGGAAAGTGTGTATTTGGGCGTGGACGCTGTGAACACACACAGGGACAGGCCGGAGGTGGGTATCACAGGCAGCTTACAAAGATGTCTCACAGCAGGGGTTTGACTTCAGTCGCTTGTCGAGCCATCGTCTTCTGTGAACCACATCCTAATGGGGGGCGGGGGATACCTTTTTTATACAAAGTCTGACTTTGTTTCAAGCCTTTTTGAGATGCATTTCATGTCCTGTGGCATGTTAAGTCTGCATTTCCTGTAAAAGCCATCTGTATGGTTCATTCAATCAAGCTGGCAACGACAGTCTTTGTCTTGGAGTAAAAAAGTAAACCTACTACAATGTTGCAGCAACATTTCTGTATCATTTTGATTTCATTTAGAAGTTTTCTAAGTGTTCATCTTCATAATCTAGTTCAAGATAAATCACCGAACTTTGTGTGTTTATTCTATAAACATATGGAGACTCACTGGGGGAATAGTTAATGCATTTAAATGTTAAAATTCAATGATTTGAGTTGGTTAAAGTACAGTAGTGGTTGAGCTACTAAATGTTTCAGAAAAAGTGCATCAGTCAAATTCAATCAGCTGACACAGAAAATATTGAATGACTGAGTGAAGAAACAAGCTCAATACTTATAAAATTGTATTTTTTCTTCTATTTTTCTCATAGAAAATGTTTTAAATTCTTTGTTCATTGTAAAAGGTAGCTGTTAATAGCAAACACTTTTAACCAACCGCTTAGTGGTACTTTAGACGCACAATTTATTATTTTCGTAAGTTATGCTTTGAGTAAAGTTTGTCCACTTGTTTAAATGTTAAGGGTTGATGTGCAACATTGAAACATGTTTTTCTGTCGAGTTCAAGCTTGTGAATTATTCTCAAGTCAAATGTAACTTGTTTTCATGTTGTTTGTCACCGTTGGTGCTTTGTAAATAAAAATTAAAGTGTCTTTCACAAATTGTTTCTGATCAAAACGTTGTTTTTGTCTAAACTTAAGACTGATATTTTTCTAAAGTACAGATCCACGCGTTATATTTATCAGTTTGTTGCTAAACAGGGTATTTGTTGGGATCATCAGAAAAATATTTAATTAAATAAAAAAAATTAAAAAAAGTTTACAAACAAAACAACTGGACTTCTGTGGCTGAAGTCATTTTACTCAAAAACCAACAATTACTTTATTTAACATCAATCATATAAATATTTAAGGGTTTTTACAACGTTAAATATAAAAAATATCCTCATACTTTTCACCTGTTTCAGTCACGTCATGTTGCTTTTAGGATTTAAATAACTTCATAAAGTTTGTGAATGCATTATAAACATTAACGTGCGTTTTCCTCCTTGTGTTCAGAACGTGAACGTGCAGCGCAGCACTGAAGACGCTCTGCAAACGGTTCCTGCTCACCTCTGATTCCTGACAGCTCGTCCAAACTCGGTTCTGGGACTTGTGGACTAAAAAGTGCCGTCCAGCAGAACTTGTCGGCTTCCTCCCCGACACAGAAACATCTTCCTGGACTCCTGTGATTTTACTTTATCTGTGGGCAAACTAAAGCCACGTCCTTCCACTCTGTGGACCCGCTGTTGCTGCAATAATTTTTAATGTCCAGCATTTTTTTTATGATTATAGAGACCAAGTCCGCTCCATAGTCCATACTGTATATACTGTTAAATACCTCCTGATTTGGAAGACGGGTTTTATGTATGAAACACTCCTACCATGTATTTAAAAACAAGTGTTTGTTTTTTTTACTCTTATTTTATCTGTTTGAAATGTAAAAATGGAGTGCACCAAGCACTAAAAAAAATGTTTTTTTTTACATCTCAGTGGTGAAGATATAATTTTTAAACTGAGCCTACAACTTACAAATACTACACAAGACTAAACACTTTGTAAATGCATGTGATATATGTTTTCTAATCTGAATTAAGTGATTTAATCCAAAATGTGATGACCGTAATGAAACCAAATATGATTTGTGGTGTTTTAAACTGCAGTATTAAAAGCAGTCATGTTTTTACTGCAGGTGTTTTGGGTCAAACTGTGCCACAACAAATACATGTTTGTTGTATGACGGTACTGTGCTAGCTGCGTACACATCCTCCATGTTTAAAACTACCTGTGTTGTGTAATAATATACATTGAATACCAATGTACTGAAATAATCAGCTGTGATTGTCTAAATGTTTAATATTTGTAATAAAGAGAAATATGTTCATTTGTGACGTAACAGAATAAAAGAGTCACAAATGCAAAATATACAACATTTTTTTATTTCTTGTCGGTACGTAAACTTATTTGTTCCACTGTGGTGTGAAAACACATTTGATTGCCTTCGTAGTTTAACGTTTGTGGTAACAAAACAGCAAACTGAAATCCATATAACTTTAAAAACATTTAAATAAAAAAACCTCCTGTGCTCTTATAGTATTAATAGCAAGTCTACCCTGACCTCTAATGTCTGCTGTGAATATTTATGTACAAACGTCAATAATTTGAGCACAGGCTCATTTGCAGGTTAAAAGGCTTGAACCCTGTTGGCCTGATGTTTTACTGTACATCCTATGTTTCTTCTCTTGTCGGATCACACAAGCAAGGATCTGACCAGAGATGTGAATGCTCCACAGTGAGGGCCAAAATTGCGAAATGGAATGTATTCCTGGGTTTTCTCTCAGAACTGCAAAAATCAAATCAAAACACAGTGTCATGTATGCAAAAAGTCTAAAAACCATAACATTTACAGCACTTTTTCATGATAGAAAAGAACATGCAGCAGAAAACAGCCAAAACTTCTGCTCAACAAAAACGGTTAAGATGTAGTAACTCACATTTTTGAGGAACTCCTCGGCGACGATCCGAGCCCTGGCATTGACGGAGAGCTTCATTTCACTGATTTCCTTGTCGATTTCCTCCATAAAATGAATGACAAAATCCACTAGTTTATGCTTGTACATCTGCTCAGTGTGGAAGTTAGTGATGAGGAAGCTGATGTCATAGCCCTGTGGAATAACGACAAATTAAAACATGTTAAGATAGTTTACAGTTTGGGACAAGTATTGTGATCTTGTTAAATGTTGCCATTTTCAACAAAACGTATTTCAGCTTTATTAAACTTCGATTTCTTCATTCATTTTAAAAAAGGTACCGGTAACTTTGCAGGCATTTTATGTCATTTTGAGACAAAAACTATGTTAAGGATTTTCCTCTTTTAAAATATTAGAGGAATAAGTTATAATAAAAAGTCAAAGAATTATTTTGTAGAAGGTGAAAAAATATATTTGTCACATTTTCAAAAAGTTAAGGATTTACAAGACCTTTTTCAGCTCTAAATCAAAACGTACCCTTTTGATCATTAAAATATGACCTTTCATCTAGTGCAAGCATTAATCAGCACTTAAATCTGAGTGTGAACCTCATGTCAGCCGTTACTCACCTCCACTGGTTTCCTCCTCAGGATAAAGAAGTTTTCTGCTCTCATCATCATAAAACGCATAAACTTGTGGCACAGAATTTTCTCAATCTCATCTGCCTACAGCAGAAATTTAATAAAGAAGAAAGTTTGTGACTGCAGGTGGTTTTAAAAGCTTCCCGACAAGCTGTTGAGTCAGAAACTGGACTGACCTGCTTGACAGCGATGCTGACCCTGACAGAGTTGATGGAGCCCTCGATCAGGACCTTCTCCTTCTCATTACGACTGATGATTACAGGCTGGAGGAGCAACTCTTTACTGCTCCTGAACAAGAGAAAACTAAAGGTTTATATTCTGCACTACAATCATTAAGCATTATAGGCCAGACTCGGAGGAGTTTCTGACACACCTGACTTCCACCTCTGGTTTGTTGTGTCTTTCCACCACCTGTGAAGAGAAATTCTCCAGGCAGAGAGCGGCCTGCAGCGTGGCGCGCACAGCGTTGAGATATGGACGCAAAGTCGCCGTCTGACATTGAAAACAAGAATAAAAGGCACATAAAGGCAATTCATGACAGATTTTAAAAAAAGCACTTCATGTTTAAATAAAACAGACACCGACTGGTTTAATGACGTCTTGCAGATCAAGTTCCACAAAGTCGACAATTTTTTTAATTTTATTAACTAAACTACAGCGCATTCATTGGCTGCCTTGGATCTTGACTCAGAGCAGAAACGAGTTGTTTTACCCGTCTCTCCAACTGCTTCAACAAAAACAGTGTCATTGTTGAACAACATTTTTCAGAAGAAAATGTTTACTGGAAAAACAAACCCCTCCAAAATTAAGCCAAACTGATTAAAAAATAAAAAATACAAGAAATGCCATTAGAATTGATTTACTTCTCACAAATGACAGAAAAGTTTTAATATAAACCAATATAAAATATTTTGTTATAGGGTGTTCTGCTCCTACACACAGGCAGAGCTTCAGCGTTCCCAGGATTCATTTTGCACATTGCTAGATATTTAATCTAAAGAAATGGAAGGACATTTCAAAATGTATATTAACACATTTGAGACTGCAGAGAAGTCTCACAATACAAATAATATTTTATCACACGATGAAGGTGACCATTCAGAATTTTTTTTTAAACTTTTGTATTGATTTGTAATGAACCTTTAATCAATGGAAAAAGTGGACTCCATCCATCCATCCATCCATCCATCCATCATCTTTTGCCCGTTTCTTCCTTTACGGGTCACAGGGGTCACTGGTGACCATGTGTGAGACAGGGGACATCCTGGACAGGTCTCCAATCCATCACAGCGACACATAATAGAGACAAACAACCATTCACACTCTCATTTGCACCTAGGGACAATTTAGAGTTACCAATCAGCCGAACATGCATGTTTTTGGTCTGTGGGAGGAAACAGGAGTACCCGGAAAAAAACCAACGCAAGCACAGAGAGAGCATTCAAACTCCACCCAGAAAGATCCTGGGACAGGATTTGAACCAGCGACCTTTTTGTTGAGAGGCAACAGCTCTATCAACCGAGCCACCATGAACTCACGGAACACAGGATCAAACCATGTCAGCAAAATATCTCTAGACAAAAAACAATACTTTCACTGTGGAACTGATTTTTTAAAAAAAGTTTCTTTTGATTTTGTGTACGTCACTATTTGTGCCAGAAAAACCATTTACAGTTTTAAGAAAAGGGGGGGAAACACATTATTTTTAATTTCTAGAATTTTGTGTATTCTAACATTAAAAAATAAAAAAAATCATCTGGTTCTTACCAGGGGCCTGACACTTTGTAAGTTAACTTCAGGTTCAGTTTGGGAGTTTTAGTAAAATGAAGCTGGTTCACTTTTTACTTTGGGCGACAAAAGTTAACCTGCTTTCACAGAAGTTTAACTTTTGAGACAAGAGTGCCACCTATTGACCAATTCTCTTAGAGTAAAAAGAAGAAAATCACTACTTTGTGAACAGTGAGTGCTGATCATTTATTCTTAAACAGTTTGATTTGTTTTTCATGAGAAATATCATAATACAGTATGCCATATATTGTTCTTTATTATTTACCAAGATGATGTGTGTTTGAGAAGATGGACATACTGCAGTCAGGGACCCTCAGTCCACACTGCATTAGGTTTTATTTAGGTTGTTTTTATTTTATGGTTTGTGAAAAACGAACAAGAATTTACAAGCCCCTTACCCCATAATTGTTTAGTGTCAGAAATATATTTTTATTTAGCCTAATTCTCCATAGATTGTAATAAAATATTTAATCATAGCTGTCCCAAAGTTATTAAAGTCCAAGCCTCAGTGCTGCGACATAAATCTGCTGTGAAAATAAACTACAAAAGGAACAAAGTATTACTTTATTCAATTTAGCAGCTTCGGAGGATCAGATTGTACCAGCAGACTTCAATTAAACCTTCATTCCCGTAGTTTAACACTTTACTACAGCTAAAATAAATAAAATACCGTCAATTATCAAATCTGCACAAAAAAAAACTTATATGAATTATCAGTATATTTAAGAACTCTAATAAAGAGCTTTTTATTTTCTTTTTGCCAGCAAACCGATTTGCTAATGATAGCCTGTTAGCATCATCATGAAAGAAAACTAGATCCGAAGAAGAAAGCTGGTACTTGTAGTATTACTATATGATGAATAGTTCCTGTCCTTTACGGACGAACTACGATACATGTACCTACTAAAATATAATGTTTCATTTGAAAAAGGTCAAAAAAATCTCTTACCATTTTCAGCTTCGAGAGAGGCGGCTAAAGACGGAAGTGGCTACTTGTGCGATTTCCGCATTCACCGGAAATGGGGAAAAAAAAAAAAAGTTACAGACGGCGACGTGTGTGAAACCTGTGCTGTCTGAAATACAAAAGGCCAACAGCAGCTCAGTTAAATTGCGCTCATCTTTTTTTTGTTTTTGTTGCAAGTTTGAGCTAAGAACTGTTCTGAAAATGAACAAGTATAAAATAAATACATTTGGCTATTTTTATATTTGCAGGAATATCTTTAGGTCGAGAGAGCAAGCAGGGTTTTGTGCAGAGCTGTAACACCATGCAACATATACTAATTAAACCAGGCTTCTTTTGAAGAACTACTTTTATAGCCTTGTTTTATTAGCAGAGAGGGTGTTTGTGTGTCCCACATCCAAGCTGTTTGTAAAGCTTGGAGAAAAATGTGATGCACAACAAATTTTTTTTTTAAATAAGATGTTCAGCTACCGACAGTTCTGTATAAAGTATGGTTTTAAAATCTATGGAGCTAAAAATAGAAATGCAATCCACTGCATGTAGGCAGTAGCAGTACTAGCTGTTTGGCTGATGCATTTCTGGATCAGTTATGAATTTTCCTCCATTCACCTTGTGGTTGAAGTAAAACTCATTTATGATGACATAAAAACAGTGAGACACCATGCTGATAGTCTGGAGGGTTTAACAGTAGGCTCACCTGAACAGAATGCAGCTTTTCTGAACTTTTTGAACTCATGATCCCGTTGACAAAAATAAACTTTCAATATAGGACACTAAAGTTGTGCGTTTGCAGAGGAGAGTAAATGCAAACAGCCATTTAGCTTCTTCAAAGGATGTGTGTTCACTGAAACAATTCCAGATACAATATTAGGTTAAAAAAAAAAAAAACTTCACCTCAAGAGCAGTCAACCTGCCAACAGGACACTTCTTTGCCCCTCAAGAATATACAAACGTTCAGTTATTTTGGCTGACTTTACACGTTACGGAATGGAAGAATAATTAAAAAAAAAAACCACCAAAATTCAGCCGTGAAGCTGTATGGATACATTTATAATGCAAAAGAACAACAAAAAAATTGTATGACTTTTTATAACTGTTTATTGTTGTCGCTGTTGTCATCATTCTTTGTTGAAATCAGGTCTGTCTTGAAAATGAGTCCTCGAGGCTCGATGGGATTTACCTGTAGAAATAAAGGTTGAATGAATAAAGTCAAATATTGCTAAACTACTGATATATTCAAGAGTTTTATTATTTGACGTTCAAATTTTCTTTTACATTATTGGCATTTCAGTAATGCTTTCGGTAAGGAAGAAGAAGAAAAAAAAAGTAATTCTAGAGAAAATGGTTGAATATTTTCTTTAAATGGAAAGAAGGAACAGATTTTTAATTCAGTTCTTTACCATCTATACACCGTGATACACAGTCCGTTAAAAATTTTAAGTACTTAGCCGACCTGAGCTACAAAGCAGATAGAACAGCAATAAGACATGACAGAAGACAAGTGTTGGTGACGTGTAGTTTAGCACTGAAAGATGTCTGAGGAGGACAGAACACATACAGCAGTAATAGTAGCAGTACAAGAAACGCTGCATTAAAAGGCAAACTTTATCAACAAATTAACATTTTACACTGCGACTGCCTTATCAGCTTTTATTTAACACAGTTACGTATGTTCCAGCAGTGTATGAGGCAGTTTTAAACCCTAATCCTGAAGTAAAAAGGCAATACAATCACCAGATGGTTCCAATGATTCTCAGATGTTTGTAGAAGGAAAAAGCAAGTACAAATCTATAGCTTAACAAAAGGCATGTAATTAAAGACGTTGCCCAAAAATTACTCCCCAACTCTCTAACATTTAAAGGCAAAAACAAATCAAAAGTGCAAATAAACAGGTTTCAGATTGACTTGAAAATAACAGCCAAATAAAACATACATTTTGTTCTATGGATTATTTCTTGACTAATGAGCAAAATAAAACAAGCAGAAAGCAGGGGATTAGATATTTGAGATTATGTTTCTTGGGATAAGCTAATATTGTCTCACGATACAGAGCTTCAGCCAGTCCATCCAGAGTTCCCAATCACACTCACTGAACATGGCTCCATCTTGTTCTCTCAGTGTGTCACACCTGACAAATGTGGTGCAGGACAGGAGTTCGATCGCTAACAAGTCACTGGATATAAGGTCAGAAGGGTTGTTTCTCCTCTTTCGTGTGATCTTACACCACTGGATTTGTCATCATATTAAGTAAGAGTGCTAGTGTACTCATTTGTGTAATAAGTGGGGGGGGGGGCATACATCCTTGTGCAGCATGTCAATGGAATGAGCAGTGTGTGAGGAAGACCAGAAGGGAAGTCGTTTCCCTGGGAGCGAGGGTGATGATGTAATAGGGTGATGACGGGGCGTTTCAGGAAGCTGAGAGAGAAGATGGTACAAGTTGTCTCTCAGCAGCTGCAGCTTTCTGCAGAAGGTCTAGCTCTGTCGTTCCCACCCAGCTTTATGGGCTCTGGGAACTCATTATACAACTCCACCTCTGTCTCCTGTGAAGCATCAAAAAGAAACAGTACATATGTAAGAAAAGTAAGACGATCTCAATTGTTCTTGCTTTACAAATACAGATTTTCCAATTAAAAAAAAAAATTCAAATCTCCACTCTTCTTTCATTTTAAACGAGCGTAACGGACCTGCTTGAGGGCGTTGCGTGCAATTGTCTGGAATGCCTGTTCTACATTGATGGCTTCTTTGGCGCTGGTCTCAAAGTAGGGGATGTTGTTCTTACTCAGACACCAAGCCTGAGCCCTTTTACTGGTCACCTGTGCACAGAGGAGAAAAAATGAGAAGATTCATCAACAAAACAGTGATGTTTCACATGACCGTTTCATTCACAAACCTTATTTAACATAATGAATTTTAATAAAGTGCAACATCAAAAAAGAGCAAAAATAGATGCATTTCATTGAATTTTACTAAGTGTGACTTTTTTTCCCCCCGGTACAGTATAGTGAGCAGCTATGCATATCCTCCTGCATAATACTCTGATCATGCCAATTATTTGGTAGAGTGTAGCTCCAAGTATAGCAGCTCATAGATCAACTGCAACTTTTAACTAAAAAAAATAAAAAATAAAAAAAAAAAAAAAAAAATAAAAAGAGTTATAAAGTTGTAAAGTTTTCATTTATATTCCTGTCCATTTATAACATCTGTATAATCAGTAAAGAATCAGACTATAAAGCTTTCAGTTCAAGTTGATACAATATCTCCTACACAGTGGTCAGGCTGTGTTCAGCATCATGAATTTTAAAAAGCAATTCATTTTCATACTTCAATTAATTTTTTTCTTTACTTATTCACACTTTGAAAACAAACAACAAACAAAAAAAACCTCTACGTTTCTATATGTTTCAAGGCAGAATAGAAACCATGAATAATGACCAATACAGGAAGTGATTCCTGTCTACAAATAAATCTTGTGTAAACCATTTTTGTATAAAAACCTATCGCACAGCCCATTTTCTTTTAGTTAAGGAACTTTAACATTTAACTTTGAGATCATTAAAAGCATCTGCTAGTTTTAAACTATATGCTGATATTGAGCCACAAATGTTTACCTGCACAAGAATGTAAGCTATGCACTTTAACTTCCACTGATAAAGAAATGCTCACAATGATTTCTGTAATCTCACCAAGTGCACTTGCATTCCTGACAGAGCCGGTAAATCCTATGAAAAACTTTTATTCAGAAGAAATCATTTCTGAACACTCGTCACATGAAGCAAGACAGCTGTAAAAGTCCATGTTTTATGTGCACTCTGAAGAGTTGAAACATGCTAACAGCAGATTATAAATTGCTGTACTACAGATTTGTTCCCATATCATGGACAATAGAGGCACTTTCTGTGTCAGGAACTTAATAATAACCTGTCTATTCTCCAAGTCGATTTTGTTGCCCAGCACCACAAAGGGGAAGTGCTCAGGATCTCGAGGGCTGGCCTGGATTAGAAACTCATCCCTCCAGCTGTCGAGTGTCTTGAAGGTATTGGGTGCGGTCACATCAAACACCAACACACAGCAGTCTGCTCCACGGTAGAACGCAACGCCCAAAGACTGAAACCTTTCTTGACCAGCTGTGTCCCAGATCTTAAAGACACAAGAAAAACATGTTTATAACACCAGGATGACTTGGCAATACAGCACAATGATGTCAAAGTAAGGATTAATAAAATATTTCAGTAATACTCAAATGATTTCAATTTTCATATATTCTTAAAAAATTTTGAGTTGGAAATTTACCTGCATTGTAACAAGTCGGTCATCCACCATTACCTCCTTGGTCAGGAAATCTGCTCCTATTGTAGCTTTGTACTGGTTGCTAAACTTTTTGTTCACATACTGGTTCATTAGGGAGGTTTTTCCAACACTGAAGTGACAAGAAAAATAAAAAGTGTAACAGAGACTGAACAAAACATAGAAGTACTGTATGAAATATGCGGTGATTAAATGAACTACAATAATTTGAAGTTGGTTATTTCTCTTGTGTGTAGATCAAAAGCAAGATTTAATGCAAAAAGACATGACAAGTAAAAAAAGAATAGTAGTTTTTATGTAGTTGGTTAAAAGGTCTTAAGTGGATAAAATGACTGAGTTCTCATGAGGTATTCATATGTAGTTCTGTTTCATATGTAGTTCTGTTTCATATGTAGTTCTGTTTCATATGTAGTTCTGTTTCATATGTAGTTCTGTTTCATATGTAGTTCTGTTTGCCAATAAAACCAAAAACAAGCAAACAGCTCCAGTGAGTACATTCTGATCATCATGACATGTTTACATCCAAATATCATGTCTGTTTTGCGTGAACTTCGATAAAGTAGCTTTGTGGAAACGTGCATGAATTGTTTTTCTACTACCTGCATTGAAATGGCTTAGTTTCATTTTATTTTTTTGTTTGTTTTTGTTGTTTCCATCAACCTTTTAAAATAAACACGTCATTCAGGTAAGAGAAACTGATAAATGACTGATGAATTTTTGTTCTTCTTCTTTTGGCTGCTCTCTTCTTCAGGGGTCGCCACAGCAAACCAAGTCCCACTAAGACTTGGTATCTATTTTTACGCTGGACGCGCTTCTTGACGCAACCACAGTCCAGCGAGTTACCACAGCCCTCTGTGTGGAGCAGAGAGCTGCTACCTAGAGTGCCCGGGGGAGCAGATGATGGGAGGTTAAGGGCCTTGCTCAAGGACCCAGAGTGGGGCAAATGATGGTGGAGGCAGGTGTGGGTGCTTCACCTATCCCACCCATATTTTGAGGATGTCGATACCGGGAGTTGAACCAGTGATCTTCCGCTCACAGGCCCATGTTCTCTAACCTCTGCACCACCACTCCCTCATATCACCATCAGTGACAACCAATGAAACAGAGTTCAGTTTGTATAAATTAATCAAGCTGCGGGCCTATGAGGATGCAATTTTTTTTTCCAGCTCCCATTTTATTTTATAAATCTATGTGTTTATGTTTAGATAACTGTTAGACATTTTTATGTTGTACAAGTGCACAACTCTACTGCCAGTTCAAGATGCACTACCACGTATCGATATACTGTAGCAGTCAACTGGTTTGCACTTAGTAAACTCTCCAGTGATCCAAACACAAACATTTTTACAATAATTGACTTTGGATCTTGTGCAATGAGCAGTAGATACCGTGCAGGATAAGTTAAAATCCTCTGACTGAAAGTTGGACTTGTCATAAAGTAATTAACATTCTCTTGTCACAGAAGCATCACTGGATAATAAGAGATGCAATGTTTTGGCTAAGTGAATTAAAAGTAAATGGCTTCAGCTGCTTGTCCATAATATTTAAAATACATATTTCATGTTTAAACTCAGTTATGAAAGAACAAAAATGCACCTAATGTAACTTTAAATAGTACAGTGAACAGTTAATTTTATTAAAAACAGTGCAAACGATGGCGCTGACTGGGTCCAACTGGATCTTCTAATAAAAAGCTCTGATTTTAAAAAAGTGTCAACCAACACAGCACAGATGATTGAGCTCTGCCTGGAAACAGCTTATGACATCTCCAGCTAACAAGGAAGTAAAAGAGAGAATGCACAGTAGCTACAAAACCTAACTGAAAGAATAAAAAAAGGCATGCTACCGGTATTCCCAAACTATTTTTAGAACAGAAATATCTCCTCTGTTTCACAATGCTGGTTTTGGCACGAACATAAAATTAAATAAAATTAAAAAAGTCCCATGCAGCGACTCACCCAGAATCTCCAAGAATGATGACTTTCAAGAGCACTTTCTTCCTGGATGTCATTTTTCCACCGCTGCAGACACAAAAGGTAACGGCACGTCACCCAACCTTCTCATTACAAGTCATGACCAAAATGAACGTTTTTTCAAAGAAATTAAATTATACAAAAGTGGCTTAGAGAAACACGAGACTACAAATTTGTGTTGACTCTTGAGGCTCGGCTTGGAGTCCGAGGTTTGAATGCTACTCATTCCAGTCATGTGCTTTGTAAGCTGTTGAGAAAATCACGAGGAACACATCTCTCTCACTCACACACGCGCGCGCGCGCGCACACACACACACACTCTTCTAGGGTCAACATCTCATCAATATTACTATCACTAAGCTGACAACAAACATGCTCAACTCCACACTACCAAACATGATGGAATACCTCTGGACTCCGTGACAACCTTTACATTTTGTGTAACACTTTACTTAAAAACATCATGCCTACAAACATAGTAGTATCAAAAGTAAAAATGCTAACTATGCAGTAAACTTATTATGGTAGATAGCATTTAAACTTGGTGGAATGCGGAAGGTTTGTATTTTGGAGTTTAAACATAGCCCTGTCTATTCAACAAAAATAATGACGCCAACGTTAAATTTATAAACCAGTAAGTTGCAAACAGAATCTAAATAAATTGGTCCAGTCTTGGGCAACACTATTAATTTATTATTCTAGTAAAGAGTGAGCATTATTGCTCAATATTGTGCACAATCTCCAATACTTATCAGGAACATGAACAGGTGAACAAACCATGTCCTGCGTCATGTAGCTTTTGAGAAGCTATTACAGAAAAGGAATACATAAAAATTAAAGAAATGTAATAAAATAAATCAACAAAATAAGATTTGTCATCTCAGTACCTTAGTATTTCCACATAACCTACAGTTTAAAAATGTATCTTACAAACTCTCACCAAAGGAAGCATGTTCCCAGTTTTCTATCACCTCTGACCACTAGACAGAAACTGCACTGTGATTAAAACTCAAAATTGTTGTGACGTCTGGCAAAACATGCCCCAGTATTGCAAATTTCCCTCCATTTATTAAAAAAATAGTCAAGACTTACAAAAAATATATAGTAGCCCGAGCCTGCCTTATTTGTTCACCAAACTTCTATTGCAATGCTTAGAAACGTTTGCTGACTGTAGTTGGATGTACAGCCTGAGAATGAGAACAACTGTAGTCTATTTCTAAAGTTTCACTGTGATTCCTCAACACTGTGGATGATGTCAACAAGGACTGCTCCAATTACATGTTTGTGTGTACTGCGTATTCTACACAAACATGTTTAAATGTTTAAAATGACATTTTAAATGCAGTAGTCATCATTACAATAAATTTGTACTTCAATCATGTGTAGGCACTAAAATATGTTGGACAACCTGACTACTCCCCAATTAGCACTGGGTCACAATATTATATTTAATATAGTATATTATATATAATATGGATTTTTGTAACATTTTTAAAGCTCAAAACCTACGCCAAGTCAAAACTAACACTTTACACAGGCACATAGTGTAAACTAACGCATACTTGTGTTGTCACAGTCAAAAGCTGGAAAGTACATGCATTCTTTCTGAATGAAACAAACAAGTAAGGCACTCCAGTGACAATACCGTGAAGCAGATTAGCTGACAGAGGCACGAGTAGAAGCAGCGTCTAACTAAAGTCTAGGTGTGTTCACACTGTTGTCACATGATTATAGAATAAACTGAGATTAGGCATTTATCCTCTGATGCATACCAGATAAATGTACATTGAATTATTTAAACACCAAATGCTTATCAACAATAATTTGGACACAACTAGCTAAAACGGACATGATTTTATTGCCATTAAATATTAACAATAAGTGGAAAAATTCACAGCTAAAATGAACAAAAATTTGCAGGTTTCTATTTTATTGTGATGATCTGTACAAATGTTTTTCTTAAACCAAAAAGGTTTTGTTTAGACAAAACATTACCTTTAATAAATTGTTCAATCATTCACCATAACTTTATGTTCCTATTACTGGACAGTGAAACTCTAATTGCTCATATTGAGAAATGAGTGTTAATACTGCCACATGTTGGATGTAAGCAAAAGGTCCAGCATAATTCCTTTTTGCCTTTATATCCAAGACAAGAACAGCTAAAACTCAACATCGACATGGATTACCAAAACTTGCAAGACGAAACACTAAAAGCACATAAACTTAGAAGGCAGAGTTCAAATATTTCGCATAGATTTCTGCTAAAACATGCTGCTCTGGTTATACACACAGTAATAATCTACAGATGTTGGAATTCAGAATGTTAAATAGTGTGCTTAAAAAGCTGTACAATATAAAGCCATCTTGTTTACGCAGATTGAAACGTTTTCAGCCATCTTTATCACATCAACTATGCATAAACAACCAAAAGAACTAAGAGAATCCTAAAATAGATTCCTGCCTTAATAATGAATAATCTGAGAGGATTTGATCACATTCTAGGAAAATGCTAATGATTACTCGTCAACTTTATTGAGAATACATAAAAACCAAAACTTATGACAAATCTTATTTGTGATTAAAAACAACAACTAGTAACACAAAAGATACAAATGATATTAAATAACTGCATCAACTGTGCATAAAAAAAAACAAATTGTGTTTGAAAAGCAAATTTTATGCTTAATTTCACCTCGTAGTACACATTTTACAGACACATGAGGGGTCTGCAACAGCATTTTCATTCACTTGCCTAATGTTTTTAGACAAGTAAATGAAATATCAAAAAATCAAACAAATGTTATAATTTCAATGTAATTTCCACATCTATTTCCACCACATGTATCTGCTATAGTTTAATGCCGTCTATTGAATGAGTTGTCTCAACACATGGTGATCATAGGTAGGTCCATTACTAGATAAAAATTAGTCCTGGTGACATAAACTTAAGTAGAGGCCAATTGTTAACAGAATAAAAATGACAAAACGTCAACACACACACATATATATATATATATATATACACACATGTAAAAGAAAGTAAACTTGTAATCTGCAAAAGAAGTGTCACAAGTGAAACTAAAACGATTTATCACGGGATATATCAACTGGAAACAGAAAGATTAACGTCTGGCAATCTGTTGGCAGCAATAAGTGGATCCTTGTCAACATTAAAACACGTCTCTGATCCTGGAGTATGGTCCATGTTTTTATTAAAACTGAGACAAGTCTAATTCGTCTGGACATGATTCAGAGAACCAATTAATAATCCACTGTTAACCCATGACAAAAAGATGCTGTGTTCGGTTACCCGGTTCAGCTTCCTTGTTGGAGTCGACCCAGAGGAGTCACAGGCCGGTCTTGTTTTTTTTTCTTTAAAAAAAAACTACCAGCTTCTAGAAAAAACACCGCACCACCATTAACGATTTAGCGTCATGGTAAACCGGACACCCAACATCACTCGAAGAAGTAAAACAACATGAGCCTCATAAACAGAGTCTTAACGATTAAACACTTACTTTAAGGTTGAAACACACGAAAAAGAGGCAACTTCTTGACCGTAACGACGCCGGGAGCTAACTAGCTGTTATTGTTCAGGGACGCTGGTGACGTTAGCTAGTTAGCTCGCAGCAGCTTTACTCGTCGGGCTGGATTTCACTGAACAATGCCTCTATTCGGATTTTCACAAAAAACAGGCTACTCGTTGTGTGACCGACAAAAACAGGAGAGAAACTGTGTCTTGAGTCTGACGAGGCAATTAATCAACAAATATAAATTTGGCACTTAACTAAAGAGCTAGCCTACCTACTTGTCTGCCAGACAGCTAACTGCCTTCCGTTCTATCTTCCCCTTTCACTTCCTTCTCCAAAACAGCGTGTACGTCTTACGTCATACGTACATCCATTTTCATTGGCTTAGGAAAAAAAAAATGTAATTAGCGAAATTAGGCATGTTTGACAAACGAGAGCATGTCTACCATAGATATAAACTCTAGATCCCTCATTGGCTGCTGTGGCGCAAGAATTTCAGCGGCCATCTTGGAGCAGTCGTCCTCATTTGGTTAAAGCAGAAGATGTTTCAGCACTTCGCAGCTTATTTCTGTTCACATCGACAGACTGCTGACGTCAGGTCTCGGGGGATAACTTTTCACAAGTAAGATTAACTTATTATTGTTAGTATTTTGTGAATAGAATGTTACTGTACTGTATTTATGTGTTTATATCGATGCACTTTTAAAATGGCTATTTCTTGCCACATCTTTTGTACATACAATCTGAATTCAGGGTGTTAAACTTGTGCACAAAAACGGTGTAGAGAAAATCCACCACTAGAGGTCAGTGTCAACTAATTTAGCATCGACAAATAAAGTTAAAACCATAGTGGCTTTTCTCCATGTTTCAAACTTCTGTAGAGCAACAAAGCTCTGTGAAAGGTTTACATCCTTTTGAAATCAAACTGTGAACCTGAAAAACAGGTAAAATATACATAAAAATAAAAAGATGTGCAGCCTTTGCACTGTGTTATGTGTTAGGAACACAACAGAACTGCTTTTCTACATTCAGATATAACATTTATGCACATACCATCCAACGTAGGAAAATAACCAGAAATCAATGAATTGCAAAAGTCCAAAATATTTGTGTAGTTGCTAATATCATAGGAGAACTGAGACAAATATAACTTCGTAGCAACAACTAATATCTTTTTTAGAATTCATTGATAAACTTAACTATTCCTTACTAAGTCGTCGTTCAGTTCTGCAATAAAACGAACATTAGTAAAACCCCTCTGATCCATTTTAGCAGTCAGAAGTGTAGCAGAATTTTATTTAATTCAACCATTTTTATACAGGTTAATCCCATTGAGCCTTGAAGACTCACAAGCGAGACCTGGTTTTAATAAAGAGTGATGACAACAGTGGACCTCACAAGCTGCTTCTCAGTTTTAAAATGTTTTTTGTTGACTAACGATTGTGAAGGTTCTCAAACTTTAAAGGGCCCCATTTTACAAGAGGGTAAAAGCTGTACATCATTCTGAAACAATTTTATTTAGCCAAAAACTAAAAAGATAAAGAAATAGTTTTGTATTTTGTTGTCAAGTGAGCTTCAAACATCTGCGTGATCTCTGGATTTTAATTTTAATTGTATTTTTTTGTATAATGTAGACAGTGTAAGTGTCCAACGTTGTACTCAAAGACAATTATGTGAGTTAAATGTTTGTGGCAAAATAAAAGAGTGAAAAAAATGTGTTGCTCATAGTCTCTATGTTTCAACATTTTTGTTTGAGATTCATGGAAATAGACTTGAAATAAACATTCTGCTCAATCAGTTCTTTTTAAATTGTGCTTTCTTATTTAGTTTGTTCTTACTTTTGTTCAAGCATTAGTAAATGTGTGAGTGTGACCCTATATATTCTTGTGTTGTTTAATTTTGTTATATTCCATTTGAACACACACAGAGTAACAGGAAATCCATCCATCCATCATTTTTACCCGCTTCTTCCATTTTGGGTCACGGGAGTCGCCGGTACCCATGTCCAGCCATTACTGTGTGAGAGGCGGGGGACACCCTGGACAAGTCTCCATCACAGGGACACAGATACAAACGAAGACAAAGAATCAGTCTTTCCCTCACTCTCACCTAGGGACAATTAGAGTTATCAATCAGTCTAACATGCATGTTTTTGGTCTGTTGGAGGAAACCGGAGTACCTGGAGAAAACTCACACATGCACAGAGAGAACATGCAAACTCCACCCAGAAAGCCCCCCAGATTGGGATTTGAACCAGAGGCATCAGCTCTACCAACTGCACCACTGTGCTGCCCGTAACAGGAAATTAATTGTTTTAAAACGAAAGCAAAAGCAAAATGTAATATGAACAGGGTTTTTTTTTTTATTGTAGACATGTGACTGTGTTTTAACTGCTTTTGGATCATTGTGAAAGTGTATGAATGATTTGTTTGGAAACATTTTGCAGATGGAAAGTTCAGTTGAAAAAAGATTCATCCAGAAAATGCAGTTTGATTACTTCAAAACAACAGTTTTCATAAACTGGTTCACAGATGTTAGAAATGCAGTTGCCTGGAAAAAGACAAAGAGGAGATATATGGATGCAGTAAGAGAAGACATGGAGGAAGATGGAGTGAGGACGGAGGATGCAGAGGGCAAAGACAGATGGAGGAGGCTGACTCGCTGTGGAGACCCCTGAAGAGGGAACAGCCGAAAGAAGAAGGTTCACAAAGGCTTCTTTTGTGCAAATTGTAATTTGGACAACATTTTGTCAGTTTGGGCTAATGCATGTTTTCAACTGAGAATAAAACTTTAACATATTTAAATATTCATGCAGTTAAAAGAAAAAAATGCATTAATCGGTTACAAGTGCTTGAAGTCTGAATATTTCAACGTGGGTCGGTCCTGCTCAGTGTTCATGTGCCTTGTTTGTCCTCCTGCTTGCTGGGAGTGTGCCTCTGCAGAATCAATGACTGGGATGACTGGTGTTTGTAGAGAAATTCCTGCCTTCTTTCACCTATTGAATGTTATGACTGTGGCTTCTTTACAGCAGCTTTGGAATTCTGTTTACAAAGACAAACACGGCAGCTCAACAGCCAAGTGAGTGAGGAAAATGTTCACGGGGAAAGAAGCGTCTGCTGGATTTTCACCTTACTGTCTAAAGGTGGGATGTGGCAAAAGTCAGCCCTGATAAACAGACCAATAGCAGGTCTGTTACAGGGGCGATTCTAGAATCTGCCCTTTAGGGGTGCTTAGCCCCCAGTGCTGACAATGGCTCTGGATTGAACAACGTGTTCAGTGGCATCAGAAGCATTCATAATGTGTGTGTGTGTGTGGGGGAGACACACACTGGTGGAAGGTTTGTGAGTCCTCCCCCCGAAAATTTTGAATAAATTAGATGCCATTTCCTGCATTCTCTTGTATTTTAACGGGTACAGGTGTGATAGCTAAGATGCTACAAGTGTAGCACTCTGCTTTACATTGCATAACCTAATTAATGCTTTGTACAAAATCAGTTTAGTGTTAATTGATCATAACAAACAAAGACTAAACTTATACAACCAGAAGTTGCAACATATATCTACATTTAAAACACAAAACAAAGCACAACTAGCTGTAAGCATTAACCTTTAATTTATCCATTAAGCATACAATGTAATTATGAGAGAAAATTGAGGTTTTACCTGCAGTTACCTTCGTACAGATGAGCATGCACTACTTCCTGTTTATCACTGCTGTATTCAGCTGCTCGTGAGGTCGGCCGCAGGGCTTCATCGTCTTTTACATTTTTCCAGATCCAGTTTAGGTTTTGGAAATGTAATAAACTGTATTCCACTCTCTAAAGCAGAGCTATTCAACTAAACTGCGCAGGGGGTGCACAGTTACTGAAAGCAGCTTAGGGGCCGGACATCCAGCAATTAAAGTCATTATGTAAATAAACCAAGTATTACAATGATCTGTTAGCTTTTAAATTTGTTTATTTTGTTGCACTGCACCATAAATGCAATAAACAGAACCAAAACCCAAACCCAGAACTACAAAAA